TCCTGCTGTGGAGCTGAGGGTAAAGGCAGTTATTTCCTGCATGTTGATGTTCCAGTTTCATACCGTGTAAGGTGATGTGTGGCTTTGTCTGTCACTGATAAATGTCTTCTTGAGGAGTTAGGGCTGCACAATTCAAGATATTTGTATAGTCCAAGATATGCACAAATTTGCAATTTATTGTTTTTCATTTTAAGCTTGTAGGGATTTACAAACCTGGATTAAATCAAAACACATTAGGGAGGGCAAATAAAAAAAGGAAGATTTCAAGGATCAAAACATCTTCAAGCTGCCTGTAAAATAATGATGGATTGCTCTAGAGGTTTTCCCCAGCTGGTCATGTAACCAGCAGGGGACAAAACTGCATGAAATCTGTGTGATGTACAGTTACCTGGCTCCATGTGCAATGGTTGTCTAGACATAGACTCCTGCAATGCACAACCCAAACTTTTTAGTAAAAGGTTGTGTCTTGCTAGGGTGTATCCTCCCTGGGGATGGGCAGGAGATGTTGGCCTTACCCAGTTTTCAGCAACACCTGTACTGCAGAAACCTCCTTTCTCATCCATGGTTTGGTTGATAGCTAGAAACTAATAATTGCTCCTGAAATCTGTGATTTCATGGCATGAGGATGTGCAAAAGAACCAGGAGATTGGAGGCACCAGGTTGTGCAGCTCTGCAAGGCTGGCCCAGAGGTACAGTCTGTGCACTCTGGGTGCAACTTGAGGCCAGTTCATAGCAATGTTAACACAGAACTTCCATTTCTTTCTTGAAGGTGCCTGGTAAGCTGCTCCAACACTGCTTCTTCTAAAAGATGTGGCTTTTCAGCTTTTCTGCTTGAAAAAAAAACAGTAAATTCTGTATGACCTCATGCCACAATTATTTTGCAGAGGGAAAACCTCCCCCACTAATGAAGCAGTCACTGTTCATTGCAGCTTAAATAGTGAGTCCAAGACCTGACTGGTGGTAAACTGCAGTTCATAGCAAAAGCCAGATGGACAAAGGAATGTGGCATCAGTTAACCTTGGTTAAGAGCTTTGAAAAACTGTGAGCACAGTGCCACAAAAGTGCAAAAATAGGAAAATTAATCACAACTTAAAATAAATTTTTTTTCAGTAACACAAACATGTAATGGGAAAAAAAGTCTTTAAACTTCTACTGCTTTTATAATCTGAATCAGGTGCAGTCAGTGCTCTCTTGCAGTCCAGATCACAACACTGAGCACAGTGTCTGTTTCCTCTGGCGCTTGGCTTTTTTCATGGCGTTCAGTGCGATGGTTGTTGCTTCTTTAAAAACACTTTCTATGTTCTCACGACATTTTGCTGAGCACTCCAGATAAATTTCTGCATTTATCTGCTGACAAGCTGCTTCACCCTGGGAAGGACAAAAGATAAAGTATGAGAGAAGGTTAATTGGGGAAGAAGGGGAATTACTTTGTCCATCATTGTATCATGAGATAAGGAAAGAAGCAACCTCTGAGGATAGTGCTAGAGTGTAAGTGGCATTGGTAATAAACCAAGGCAGCATTACCTAGGATTTTTTTTCTCCCATGTTGGTCTAGAGCCTGGCTTAACAGTTCATTGCATTAGAGACTCTACATGCAGACTGCTGATTGTGTAAAAATACTCTCAGTGTTAAGTTTGTTGAAAGGAAATGCTGAGGTAGGTACATAAGTGGGGATAAGATGTCTACACGGTGGTATTTTTCCAGGCCTGACCTTAACTATCAATTACTGTCACATGCAAGAACAGAATCTGGACTGATGTCTTGTTTTGCTGGTCAACATGCAGTAACCCTGACTCTTGGAGCATCACAGAGGCTCAGCCAAAATCCTCATACACAGGAGTGGGTGCCTGTGCTCCTCAGCCTCACCCAGAAGGGAGCAGTGGGAGCAGCCAAGAATCCAGAAGAGTTGCATGCAATCCTGGCTGCACAAAATCACTACAGACCAAACACAGTGATTTCTTACTTTGCTTGTGATCCTTTTACTGTTGTTGCAGAGTCAGCCCCCTGTTATGAATGCTTGTGAGCCTTGGAGTGGAAATTCCAGGTCTGCAGCCCACAGCTCACAAACTGTGTGTTCATTATCAGCCCTGGGAGTGGGGTCACTCCGGCTTCTATAGGGGGATTTTTCTTCAGCATATTTAAGTGAAGTTGTCTCCTTCCAGTTGTTTGCAAGCTGCAGTGCTGGCAGATACTGTTCATCTCCTCTGTGCCAGGCATTGGAAGCATCATGTCATGTGGCTCAAGATGCCATCAGCTGTAAAAGACTGAGGGAGCTTATATTGAAGGGGAGAAAAATGTAGTGGGAGGGCTCACATAGGAGACAAAGTCTGTACATCATGGGGCATGGCAATTAATTGCATGAGACCTCAGCAGAACAGCCAAAAGTGTCCATTGTTTGCCCTGAATCCCAAATGTGAGGGTGATGAATGAGTTATTAATGCAAATGAGGGACAATCTGCAGCTGTTCACAGAGTGACAGGACCAGCTCCTCATCAAGAGAAGCTGAATGTCCCAGCGTGGTCTAGTGGTGATGCAGTTCCAGTTTAGAAAAAGTAGTGATTCATTCAAGGTCTTAGTGCACTTAACCTTGTTCCTGGGAAGTGTGACTCACATGCTGCTGTTCTTGCTCTGAGATGAGAGAAGAACAGCTTTGTAGTTAAAAAAAAAAAAAAAGAAGTGGGAGACCAGAGCAGAAAGGTTTTGTGTGAGTCCTGTACCTAGGACAGCTACACTTGTAACTGTCTTGTAACACCAGCTGTAAGTCTTACTGCTTCATAACAGAGTGAAAACATTTGATAACATGTAGGGGTTTTTGTAAGATTACTTTGAAGACTTCAAAGAAAAGTCTCTTCTGTTAGAGAAGCCTTGCAGATGTTTTTGCTATTGTCCTTGAAAGGGTTTATTTTTAAATACTGTTTGCAAAGCACATTTTCTCTGAAATGCTCAGTATTTTTAATCCTGTAATGTGCTTCCTAGCATCTCCAGTCTTTATCACAATCCTGATCAAATCATCAGTGATGGGAGAAATGTATGCTAATAAAAAATTATGAGGGGAGTCCAGCAAAATTGTTGAGGCTCACAAACTTTTAACAGTAATAACTCAGCTGTGAAAGGAAATAAAAATGAGGTGTAATGGTCCTAGAAGGTGTAGCTAGTAGTTTCTTTTCAGACACCCCAAGACATGCAAAACACTCTTCAAATTTCTCTTTGATACCAAAAATGGATGGTGATTTGGCCACTTCCAAAAAGGACTTACAGTAACTGTTGAGTCTGTCAAGAATTTCTTTCTCTGGACACCATGATCACCTAATTTTGGAGTATCTGTGATTGCACCTGTGAGGACTGATGGCATTGAAGTGTCCTTTACCTCTTGCAAAAAGGACACCACTTCAAATGCACTTTAGTTACCTGGTTATAAGTAATGGGTTCCTGCTTAGAAGCCCTGAGCTTGCGCAGCTGCTCCTTGTCTTTCCGGAGGTCTGTCTTGCAGCCGATCAGGACGAGCGGGACGCCCTGGCAGAAGTGATTCACTTCAGGATACCACTGATGGGAGAGAAACAAAACCTTTACATCTTGTTGGGGTTTCCTGGGGGGAGCTTTTTGGTGGGTTTCTTTTTGGTGTTGTTTTGGTTTCTTCTGAAATAATACAAGCTTAATACAAGCTGCCATTTCAGCATTTTGAAAGTCATCGATGTGGTGACAGGGGCCCAAGATGCCCTATTTGCAACTTACAGAAACACTGAAGTCCTACAAAACACCTGCCAAAGGGCTCACTTAACATCTGTTTTAATTCAGAAGAGCTCCCCTAAAGTCTTAAGAGTCTTAAGTCTACTTAAGAGCAGAATTTGGACCAAGTCTCCCTTTGTTTTGCTGGTGCTATGTACAGGAACACTAACTTCTGCTTTGGAGCATCACAGTCCTAGCACAGACAAGTGGTGGCTCACATGTCTATTCCCTGTAGCTAAATATGCATGTGAGGGAAGTAGACTTGATCTTTAACGCCTGTGTGGAATCCTGGTTGTCTTACATTGCTACAGCATTTTCACTGCTAGTTTGTGATCTTTTCAGTGTTCTGTGGAGTCAACCCTAGTTATGAGCACTTAGGAGCCGTGGAGGGGTGAGCTCCAGGTCTAAGGTCTGTGACCTGCAGCTCAGTGCACAATGAGTGATCTCTGCGCCTACACGCCCAGTGTACAGAACACTAAAAGCATCAGCTTTCTTAATCTGATGTCCTGTCATGTAGCAGGTGTATGTAATTCATTTAAAAGGTTGAAGCAAATGAGGAAAGCCTCTTACCTTGGCTGCTACATTCTCATAGCTAGTGGGGTTCATGACATCGTAACAAATTAAGACAACGTTTGTGTTCTGGTACGAGAGCGGTCGCAGGCGATCGTAGTCCTCCTGGCCTGAAACACAGGGATATTTTGGATAAGAGAAGTCTCTGTCTTTCATAAACAAGCAGTATGATGGCAATATGTAAAGATCATAGAATCACAAAATGGTTTGGGTTGGAAGGGACCTTAAAGATCACCTAGTTCCAAGAAAAACAGTACTACAATTGCGTAGACGGAAAGTTTTCCATACTTGTAAAATTGCTTCCCTTAAATGCTGGAGATCCCTCTTTACTGACAAACCTGATGCTTTAGAATAGAAAACTTGACGTTGGCAAGTTTTAATAAAAGCCTACTTTGTTCAACTGCTAAGTACTTTGAAGCAGTTCTAATCACCAATTGCCAACTTGCTGCTCACAAGCAAAATCAGCAAAAGGGATTTGACAGTTATTGATTAAAGCATGTGCAATTTGGCAGTGGTTCCATTCTCCCAAACACATTTGCACATGTGATGCCGTGAGAAGAAACACCTCATTTGCTAGATGCAAATGCTGAAGCAAAAATCTTGTGGTAAACTTGCTTATGCCAGCCCAGCAAGCTGTGAGGAAGCAGCAATGAGCAGCCTGTGCCCCCAGCAGCCCTGCTCGCTGCAGCACGCACGTCATTTTACAAGATGTGCTGCAACATGAGCCAGGCTTAAGTGATCTTTGAAGCAGAACTATACAGCAAATCTTAGGGATGCTGCTGAACTCTGGAAAACTAGGGGATTTGTCATTCTTCTGATTAGGGATATTCTAGCACGTGATCTGACAGGAGGAAGCTGATTTGCTTCAGACCTGCACTCTTCCCCTTGATGTAGCTGTGAGTTGGCAGTAATCAGCAGGCTGGGGTCTAAAGGTGTCTTGCTTTGAGAGATCAAATTTGAGAAAGCAGTAATTACCAGATACAGATGGCAGCTCAGGAAGAAAACCCCATCTTTTCCGTCTGAGTTCTTTTCAGAGACTTAATAAAGAAGAAATCACGACTTAAGCAGTCTGTAGATCTATTTGCCACCTGACTGCTTCCCCTGCTGATGGCTGAGGAACAGGAAAAGCAGCAAAACCACAGGTCTGGGTCTCAGGTGCATGTCCATGTTTGTCTGCTCTTCCTCACCCCTTCTCCAGTTCACCACCCAAGATGTGCCAGCCTGCACATTGCTCAGTGTGTAAAGGAGCTCAACAGCCATTGCCACTGACTGGAGAGGACAAATGAGAGTCAAGACTTGCCAGCCTGGGAGTCACTGGTAAGAGTTGCCCCGCAGCAGAGTTGTCACTGATGGGTGAGGAAGAATGTAACATCCTGCCACCCAGTCCAGACCAGCCAACCACTTCCTACAGATGTCCCTATCTTGTCTGCAATACTCCACGCCCATGTTTGGGACCAACATGGAACGGCACCATGGGGAGCTCTCACAGACATGGAGAAATGCACCCAGTTTCCTTTGATTCATTATTCTGCAGGCTCCATGGGAACAGCAGGTTATCTGCTGGGCAGCTACATTTTATCACTACTCCATTTAGAAAAGATTGGTAGGCAGACTTTCTTCCTGGCAGAAATAAAGCCGGTAAAAGAGGACATCTGGGTGGGGAGACACACTGCATTGAAAAAGCTGGGGGTTTTCTGTCTTCCTCAGCCATGCCCCTCCTTTCAAAGTGAGAAAAATTATTCTTGCATATGCCAACTTTTAAAACTTCTCTTAAGGCCTCAGTCTCCTGTGCATCTGTCATTAGAGACCTGAAAACTCCCACTGGAGGCTTTGCATGTGCTTCCTGCAAGTCAGAGCGAGCACCCACAGTGATGAGGCATGACTTCCTCCCCAGCCCTGCAGAGCTCTTTTCTTTGCTCTGAGAAAGTTCTGCACCCAACAGCATCAAAAACAGAACCTTGTGTCTGAGCTGTAGCTAAAGCATCAATGCTGCTCCCTCAGTGTGTAAAAAATTGCAGCTGATGTATCCCTCAGTGCTTCTGCCTCTAATGAGCACAGCAAGAAATAGGAAACTTTTAATTGAATAAGCAGCTGCAAAGCTTGTTTGTGGACGAGACAAGTGGTGTTACCAGGGCTTCGCGTGTTGCGTACGAATACCACCAACTTCCTGCAACAGCCAGAGGTGTCTCTGATGAGGAAGGCAGGGTAGAGCAGTGCAACAGTCTCACAGAAAATTGTTATTCTGGCATGTTATAAACTAACTCATTAACTTAATTTCTTACCAAGTTCTTGTCAAGAAAAATAAATTGCTTTTGTAGCTTGAGTTGTTCAATTCTTAGGCACTTTGTGTCCTTCTCCTTCAGTAAGTAGGACAAGCTCAAAGTCCCAAGATACACAGGACTTGACAATACAAAGGGTCCTTCTGACTTTAAACAGCCCATGGAGCTGAACCCATCCCTTCCCTTCCTGTGTGCTGATGTAGATGCAGCTCTATTTAGTGTTGCTCTCAAGCAAGATTCTAAAAATATCGAAGTCCTTTCTGCAGTGGGTGCATCATGAAGATCAAGTGACACTTTTTAGAAGAGCAGCTTTGTCTTCCCCTCCCCTACACAGCTACATGGCACTTAGCTGAAGCCCTTCACCTCAGAACTGGCTTTACATCCTTTTCATCCCTTTAAATGATTTTATAATAAACTGAATGATTTGGGAACCTTTCACTCTGAGGAGAAAAACACAAGCATGAAGCTCTCTTAGGATTTTAAAGAAGAGCAAGACCAACTCATGTAGTTCAGTAAGTCAGAAGATGATTGATAAAATACAACCAATATGCTGCACTGTTAAACCACTGTATGTTTAGACTCCTCTCTAAGCTGCCATTGCTGTTGTTTACCCACCCCAGAGCATCATCACCCAGCTGAGAGAGGAATTTAATGAGCTGCTGTTGCATGAGATGACAGAAGTCAACACAATGAAACACCAATTCCAAAACTGCATCTCCCATGCTGCATCCACGTGGCAGAGAAACAGTTCTCTTGTCTTGTCAGCTGGTCACTCCCCTTGCTCTTCTCTTACTGTACTTGGAGGACAGGAGACAACTCCTGGTCCTAGACTAACCCTTAAGGAATTTAACATCACCTTTGTATTATTAAAAAACAGGATGAGATTAAAATATGTGCTCAAGTGAGTTCTTCCTCTAGCATAACTTCCATTTTCAGGAAGAGAATGAAAAGCTGCTTCAACTACAGAGTAGGTCACAGATCTGTAACATGCAAGCAGCTCTGAAACAGAACCAAAACTCCAGTCTTTCCCAAAGTGTCTTATGAGACACAAATTTGCCCTGCTCTGCTCTTCAATAGGGCAGTGCTTTGGTCCTGCAACAGGGCAGTATTTATAGTTGTGAACTAAATGTGGAAGGGTAGACACCTGCTGCTGAAGTTACATGTCTGAACAAGGAAACAGGGTGAGAGGAGCCACCAGCACGGGGTTCAGTGCTCTCCAGGCTGCTGGTGGCTGTAGCTCTTGCTGAGACCTGGCCTCTCCACATGACACAAGGAGCTGAGCCCTGATGGCAGGTTTGGTGTGTTCAGTGCTGCAATACTGCACTTGCCCTGCCCACCACCCCTTCTGCAGCCAGCCCACGTTTCCTAAAGCCTGCAAGAGGCTCCAAAAGCAAATGTTAGAAGCTACAGCTTGATTTTCCATGAGCCAGACAAGTATCAAGAGCTGTGTGACAGGCAAAAACTCCACACTGACAGTGAACAAACATGAAACTTGACAAGTTCACTGTGACAAGTCCTTTGTGACAACAGACCATATTAAGGAAATCCCTCTTTCACACTAGATTTTGGCCCTTCTCTTTTCCCTTAAGACTTAAACAAAACTTTGCCATTCAGGAGAAGCTACATTATCCAAATTACTGGATTCAAGAACAGTAATATTGGCACAAGAAGATGAGTGGCAAATTGGGTGCTCAGGAACTTGCTATACTGAAGTAAAGTTTAGCAATAAATTTACTTTTAGATTAGAAACTTTTAAGATTATTTATTCAGATATCAGTAAGGAATGCAAGAAGGTAAGTATGATTTACTACTATTAAAAACTAATATGGACAGCATTCCATTCTTATTTGTCTTGGTGTAAATTTGGAACAGCTTCACAGGCTTGAACTGGAACAGATTATTTACTCAGAGCTGAAATGCAACACGTGTCAATTTTAGGGTTTTTTTTAGGAGTGCAACTGGATAACAGAGTTAAAAAACTTTTAATGAAGTTGAACACAAATCATTCCACAAGTTCCTGAAATGAACCCAAACAAACTACCAACATGTTCAAATTAAGTTTTAGTGCTACAGCTTTTTTATCCTGAACACAAACCAGCTTTTTTGTCCTTCACTATTCAATCACACATGGCAGGAGATTAAAATACCCTCCTGCTTCACTGTGTTATGCTTTGCATCTGAGAACCAGCTTTCAATACCTTCAGATATGTTTGCTATTTGATGTGATTCTCTTAATAAACTGGGTTGCTAAGACAATTAACTAGATATGAACTAGATAAAGAAGCCATGGCTAAAGCTACCATTATATAAGTGACTTTTTATTCTTTTTTCTGGAAGGCACAGTTATGCATGCAACAGGTAACATGTTTCTTCTGATTGTACTGGAACCTCTAGCAGACTTAACTGTGCTACTGCAGTCACAGTATGCCAGTAGAAAAGCAGTTTGAAAATATATCCAGCCTTACAGTCCTCAAGTGTCAGCCTGGTTTAAGTTGACCCAGCAAAAGCTGCTGGAAGAGAAATAAGGGCACGTTCACCGGGCAGCTTAAGTTTCTACCTATTTATCTGAAACTTCCCACAGCCGGGGTGGGCTCGGGCTCAGCCCCAGGCCCGCAGATCCAGCCCAGAAACCGCCTCTCACAGCCCGGTTCTGTCGGGATCGGGTCAATGCAAAAGATGCTGTGAAAAAAAACCACCCGTACCTGCGGTATCGTACAGATTCAGGGTGACCTCCTTCTTGCCCACCGTGACGCTGGTCGTGTATTTCTCGAAGACAGACGGCGCGTATTGCTGCAAAGGGAGAAAGAACCCGCAGCTCTAGACGGGGAGCAGCCCCGGCCGCTCTGCCGGAGGGACCCCGGCCCCTCCGCGCCCCTCCCGGGCCGGGCCGGCTCCGCTCACCTCGGGGAAGGCTCCCTGGGCGTAAACCATCAGCAGCGAGGTCTTCCCGCAGCCTCCGTCC